CGGGAGCAGAGTCAGCAAAAGGCACGCAGGAGGCCTAGAGCAAACCCATTGACGGGACCCTGGAGTCCCCTTCCCTCTAGGAACACCTTGAATGATCCTAGTGACTCTCCACTTTGTGGCCATCCCCCTAGAGTGGGTGCGGTGACCTGGGATGCCTGATGACCTCTGTCTCTGGTCTAGCCTTCCCCACTTGAAGGGCAGGGGTAGGTCAGCTCTAAGGTGCACGGCCCTCCAGTGGCAACACCTGCTCATGTGTCCAAGCTGTTCCTCTCAGGCTTGCCCTGGCCTGGGCTGGGCTGGGGTGGGTGTGGCAGGAAGTCTGTTCGTCTCTTCCAGGCACTGACAGTGTAGGCAGGTGGAGACAGGCCCAGCTCAGTCAGCAAAAAGGCATTGTAAAAGGTGGGTAGGGAGTGTGGGGAAGCACCACAAGATCTAGACATTTGGGGCCGTAAAGAGGAAAGTTTTGGATACACTGGAAGCCGGAAGTTTGTGTGTAACATTTTGCCACGCAGGGAAAAGCTTTGGAATTATTGGTTTATGAAAACGTTAGATTTCGTTATTGATATGACTTTTCCAAACACACCCGAAAATGATAGTTTGAAATCATGAAGTAGGGACAATGTGAGTACAAGCGTTTGTTCTTGCCGAGCCGACTCTGTGAAGTAAAGGAGGTTCTACTGCCGAGCTTGTAAGTCTGTTCATTCACAAAAACAGAAGCGAGCAAAGTGAAAGACTCTATTTTGAAGTTGTAAGGACACTGGCTTGGCTGAGTCACACTGCGGCGCATCCCTGGGGGCCAAAATTTAAAGGCCAAAATGTCCACGGGGACAGGGCTGCTGCTGCCTTGACAGAGTTACTGAAATACCACACTCAGGGCTACCGGCTACAATGGGCTTGTGTCAGCAGTAAGGGGAACACCCAAACCTGTGAGTGGGGAGAGTTAAGTTCTAGTCCCCACTGCCTCTAATTTCCTCTCCATTTTTGCTGAATCACCTCATCTTCCAGGGCTGCAGTTGGCAATTGGCATCTTAGGAAGAGGGGTGGGGCTTCCTTGAATCCATTTGAGTTCTGAATCATGTGTTCTAAGTAAGGGTGTCTAGAGCATAGAGCCTCTTCAGATGTTCACTCATCCATTCCTCTAAATGACCCAAGCAGCTGCGATATCCTGTCCTAGAGAGCTCAGAGGCTACTGGAGTGAGAAAGGGGATTCAGAAGGGTAAGGAGGGCACGGGGCACACCACTGGCCAGGACTTGGGATAACTGACACCTCTCACTTGCAGCAGGCAGCCAAGCCTTTTCAGGAATTCTTCCTATGGCTGGCAGATCTTCCCTTCATGTGGGCTGTGCGTGTGTGCACATGTGTACAGACCCAAGTTTACAAATATCTCACCCAGCCATACAACAGGACAGGGTCTCAGTCTGTGCAAGGCCATCAGCTTTCAGAAGTCCCTAAAGATACAAGAGATCTAAGAGACAGCAACCGCTGACTCTCATACTCGTGACCTTAATTAGAAAAAGTGGTGGAGATGTTGTGACGGCCCCTGGCTGCTGTGTTTGCGGTTGTTGAGGGTAATTTTTGGTAGCCTGGCACCCAGTTCCCATTTCTTTAGTGGTAGCACACTAATTTTCCAGTTCATATGGGTGATAGCAGAAGCACTGTCTCCAGAATCTCCCTCCCCCTTGTCAGAGTGAGAGGAGGGCACATGACCTAAGCCAGCCAATCAGAATCCCCTTGGTCCCAGGGCAGGGTTGCAATAGGTGCCTCGAAGCACCTTTTGTCCAGGTGTGAGCGTCTGTGTAGACTGGGGTCAGTGCTGATGCTTAGAGGCCCCGAGGCTGCCCTGATTTCTCTGTTCTGTTCTCGATCTCCGGGTTGGTATTGGGAGAACGTGGCTGATCCAGAGTGGGAGAGGGAGGCGGCTTGTTTTGTTCTGTCCACGCACTCCGGGTTATCTGTGACTGCTGGGTACTGTAGCAGAAGGGAGGGAGATGTGTCTTCACTGGGGATGCTGACAGTTTCTTCAGCATTTCTGCTACTACTTATAAACCGCCAGGAACCTAGAAATGTTACCGTTCCTAAAGAGAGTGAATGTAATTGTTATCTCAATCAATTATTTTTTCAAATTTAGTATAATGAACAACCCACCTCCTAACCCCTTCAGTCTTTATGTGCCCTTCCTTCTAAAACAGATCATTTCTGGAAATTTGAAAGAAGAAAAACCGTTTTTTTTTTTTCATGTGCCCACACTGCCTTGGAATGGAATTGGAGGATCTTCAAATATATGTATTTTAATTATTCTTCATAACTTGTGGGTTTCCATGCTAGCTTTGTATTCTGTGTTTGAAATTTTAAACTCTTGCTTATTTCCTTAGAGCTTTTATTTTATGTATATAGGTGTTTGCCTGCATGCTTTTCTGTGCACCATGTGTGTGTGGTACCCACAAAGGCCAGAAGAGGACATCAGATCCAGTGGTTCCAGCTGCCATGTGGGTGCTGGGAATCAAACCTGGGTCCACTGGAAGAGCAGTCAGTTCTCTGAACCACTGAGATATTTCTCCAGCCCTTCTTGCTTATCTTGAATTTTATAATTTTAAGAGTAGAAAAATATTCTAAGTGAAAATTTCAAATAATGCAAAAGTTATTTTTTTTTAAGTAAAAGATTCACTAGGTCCCATCTCGGGGGCAACAGCATGAGAATTTGTTGCTCAGCACAGATGCAGAAATACCTTTTACTTTTCTTTTTTTTTTTTTTTTTTTTTTTTTGGTTTTTCGAGACAGGGTTTCTCTGTGTAGCTTTGCGCCTTTCCTGGAACTCGCTTTGGAGACCAGGCTGGCCTCGAACTCACAGAGATCCGCCTGGCTCTGCCTCCCGAGTGCTGGGATTAAAGGCGTGCGCCACCACCGCCCGGCTTACCTTTTACTTTTCAACAGACATGAAGTACTATTTTCTCATTGTCTTGCAACAAATTGGTGTCTTCTCTTTTCTCTTAGCTGTCGCTACCATCCTTCCCCACCACGAACAGATGCAATTTTCAAATTTTATTTTATTAATATTAGTGTGTGTGTGTGTGTGTGTGTGTGTGTGTGTGTGTGTGTGTGTGTGTGCATAAATGACAGGGCACACATGTAGAGGTCAGAGGATAATCTCGCTCCTTCCACCATGGAATCTGGTGCTCCAATTAGGTTGTCAGGTTTGTGTGGCAGTCACTTTTACCCACTGAGCCATCTTCCTGCCCAGCTCCATCTTTCTTTTTTTTTTTTTTCAAGACAGGGTTTCTCTGTGTAGCTTTGCACCTTTCCTGGAACTCACTTGGTAGCCCAGGCTGGCCTCGAACTCACAGAGATCCGCCTGGCTCTGCCTCCCGAGTGCTGGGATTAAAGGCGTGCGCCACTACCGCCCGGCCCATCTTTCTTAAGGATCCAGGTACGTGGTTGCATTAGGAAGGACCCCCTATTTGTGAACCTTATTATAGCTTCCATTTTTTTTTCTAATCACAAACAATGCTAACATATGTGTGGGGTGGCAAGAGAGGGACATCAGATTCTGGCAGAATCTTTACTCTTTACGTAGCCTAGGCTAGCCTCAAGCTAACAGTAATCCTCCTGCCATTGTCTTCCGAGTGCTGGAATTACAAGTATGAACCATTATAGATTTGCTTCTGACAAACTTTGCATCTGTCTGGGTTTTAGATCCTGTGTAGATCATCCTGTATAGCTGTTTCCTCACAATGTTATGTTGAAGGATAAAAAGGTAACAGAGTTCTCCAAGAAGAACTGCCTACCTAGTTAAAGGGGAAATGTTTCCCGTTGGCCCCTGAATGACGTTCGTATTTTGATTCCATGATGTGGGGCACTGAAATTGTCTATGTGTGAAGCCTGAGACCTTTGCACAAGCAGTGCCTGGGACTCACGGCTGTAGAGGATCAACTTGCTGACTGGGTAAATAAGAAAGAGCAATAAATGACTTAGACCAGCCAGGAAGAAAGCAGATGTTCATTGATCTCTCCGATGAACAGTCCCCGAACCAGGAGCTTTGTTCGCCGAATTCCCACAAGCCTGGGAGGCAGGTGAAATTGTCTCCATTTTATAGATGGTGACATTGAGGTTCAGTTGGTTAAGCAGTACGTCAACGTCACTCAACTAATGAATCGTGGAGCTCAGATCTGACCTCAAGACTGAAAATTCAGAGCTTAGGGTGTTAGCCACATTTTAGGAAAAATTAAAGAATGAATATTCAAGAACAGTATGTACACCTTAGTGCCATCTTGAACATCAGGTGGTTAGAATCAACAACTCCAGCTTCCCCCGTCAGTACTTGTGGGCCTAGGAACAGGTGTTGGCCAGTGTGGGGTGGGCTGCCCACAGCGGGACAGCTGCTGCATCGGTTAGAGGCCAGCCTTCACCAGATTTTGGTGGAAGCCACAGAGAGGAGGTGTTTCACTGGAGGGCTGGGTGGGAACAGGGAAAAGACAAGTAACTGGCCAGCACTGGAACTTGGGCGCTTCACAGATGGATGGACGGGAGAGAAATGACCGGTGCAGGAGGCGGGAGGCTCAAGACCCGAGTGCTATCCAGGGAACCAGCAGGTGGGCATCCTGAAAGCCCAGGTCTCCATTCCAGCCAGGGCAACTGTTTCTAGTCATGGGAGGGGCATTCAGGGGCAGGGGAGAGCGGGAAGGCTGGTACCCACAGGGCAGAGTACCCCACCCTGCATCCTCACCCTTTCTGCCCTTTAGGACAAAACCAGATGAGAGCCAGTAAGGGGTAGGCATCCCCGGCTGTGGCCACGCCTGCCATGGCCGAGACCCACAGCCGCAAACCTGGGGCGGGGGCGGGAGAGGGGGTGAGGCTTGGCGGTGAGCCAAGAAGGTCTGACTTCTAGGGAGCAACGGTGACTACAGTAGGCTCCCGTGAGCCCCACCCCTCCGTCCTTCCTCGCCCTCCCCCTCAGCAAAGGAAAGCAGTGAGAAACGTGTTTTTTATAAATAGCTCCAGCCCCAGCTGATTTGTAAATTCAGTGGGTTTTTTTTTTTTGTGTGTCAATGACATCACCCTCCTCCCCATGGCAACCCCCGACGATATCAAAATTGCCAGGCAACGTTGGAGCTGCTCGCGCCCTAAAGGAGCAGGTCGCTGCCTGAGGAGCTAATGGAGAGATCCCAAAGTGAGCTGGGGTGCACGGTGGAGGAGGGGCGCGCCGCGGCCGGGGCTGCCGGGCCCTGATCGATCCGGCCAGAGGAAGGCGGGAGTGGCTGCGGCTTGCTCGGCCAGCTCCTCTTGACAGCAGCAGCGGACCCCATCAGGTGGGGGGGAGGGCACTGCTCGGTTCCTGACGTACCGGGAGCAGCAAGCAGCCATCCAGGTGACTAAGCCGGCCCACCGCCACTGAGTCACCCACCCGCCTTGGCTTTTCTTCCTTCCCCCTTTGCGTCTGATTATTTGGGGAGCTAAAAACTTGGAGGTGTACCTGAGGCCCGCCCCTTCTAACTCTCCCCTCCCTACCTCGGCTTGGAGGAAGATGGAACTCGCTGGGAAGCTGCCACTACCCCCTAAGGACATGGAAGGCACGGAGGGAGCCAGAGGTGCCCAGGGAGAGACCGCAGCTGGCAGAGTACAATAGCAGACATGGTGATCAGGCTGCCCATGTGTCCTCTGAAGGTGCTGGAAGAGAAGGGGAGTCTGGTCCATACCGACTGGAGTCCTCCTGTGCCGGCTTTAAGCTCACCTCTCAAGGGGATCTTTCTGTAAACGTGTGGCTTCCAGGGCCATTGGTATTTGGAGAGCAAGGCTGGATTGGCATAGGCAGGCCTGTGCAGGTAGGTGGCTCTGTACTGGGTGTGGACCCACGTGTCTGTGTGAGAGGGTGAGGGTGTGTCACGGGGTGTGCGCCCAGCCAGATCTGAGGGACAGCGCTGGTCAGCGGAGAGCTGGGGACGGGGACTTGACAGCCGCGGTTGATTCTGACGGATGCTGGGCGGGTCCAGTCTTGAATGCATGCTAGGGAGTAGGGAGAGCGAACACATGGCCTGAGCAGACCAAAGAACAGCTGCCTGCTCAGGCAGGCCCAAGCCCTTGCTGGGTCCACAGGACAGAGACATGGCCAGATGCCAAGATGGGAGGTGGTCCTGAGGCCTGGCCAAGTGTGAGAACTAAACTCGGAAGGCTTGGGTCTGCAGGTCCATCGCTCCATCTTCCTGACAGCCCTGGGCACTCGGGGAACGCCTTCCTACCAAGACCGGGTCACTCCCCCATGCAGAGCAGGTCCGCAGGGATGTGTGTGCCCTGCTGCGCTCATAGACACATTCAGTGAGCAGGCTGCTGTCCGGGGCTCAGCTGGGGGCCTCTTCCAGTCCTGCCCCAGTGTGTGTCAGGCAGAGGGGTGTGGGCCCCCTGCCTCCCCCACACCACTGGCAGGCTTTCAGGCACACCGGTGAGTAAGCTGCCGCAGGGAGGGAGGTTGTGCCCACAGAGACTAGATGACACCCATCAGGAACCTTCCGGAGAAAGGAGGCTGAAAGAGAAAGATCACTGAGGTTTTTCTTTTTCTTTCTTTCTTTTCTTTTTTTTGCCTAAAGGTAGAGCAGCTTTCTGGGCTCCAGACAAGCATCAGCCTGCAGTGGGAGAGGGTGAGGCCCAGCTGCCCAGAAGGAGTGCCAAGGTAAGGTCTCCACTGTGGCAGCAGACTGAACTCTTGAGCTGGGGACAGGGTGTCCATATATTGAGGCTACTCCTCACCTAGGGCAGAGAAGCTAACTCCATGTTTACAGAACAGCTGTGAGGAGGTCCTGGACTAAGGATTCCCAAGGCTGCTTGCCTGCTTGCTACCACTCTCCAGGCAGATTTTGAAACAGTTCTGTGGAAACTGGCTTCAGCCTCTGGGCTTGTTTCTGCAGTCCCTGAATTTGCTTCCTGCTCCAGCCGGACCAAGCCAGGGCCACCAGGACTCCTTCCAAGAAACCCTTCTCACCTGCCCCTCATGTAGTCATTCCACAAATATTTATGGCGAGTCCTCTGCCTACTGGATTCCTGCTCCCTCTTGGTGCCCTCTTCCTGAACTTGACCTGCCTGGGGGCACACTAGTGCTCCCCTTAATCTTGGGCTCCCGGCCTCTGCTCAGGGTTCTTGGCTGGTAGGCTCCATCAGGCCCCAGGAACTCAGGTTCATAAGGCACAGAGCTCCAGGCAGCAAGGCTAATGCATTTCGGCCTCTGGTGTGGAATGCCAAGGTCAGAGAACTCTTCATTTGTGCTGGGAGTAGGGGGTAGAGTCTCTGCCAAAGTTGGTTCTGATGGAAACTGAGTTCCCAGGGTGGGCTTGGGAGCTCACTTAGATAAGATTGAGGATTGGCCTTTGGGCCGAGAAGGGTCTCCCTCTGTGGGTAGATATACCCACATTTTTTCTGATGGTAAGTCTGGGAACTCTAATGATGAGGGCACCAGGGGAGTTGGCACCAAGGGCAAGCCCTTCTAGAAGTATTTGATTTGGGTGGAAACTCTGAGCCCCGGCAGGGCATATAGGAACTGCATAACCTTTCCCCCACATATACACTGAGTGCATTTGGGACTTGCCCAGCACAGGGAAGGTGCAGGCCAGTGGGGTCCCAGCATACTCTGTACCATTCTTCAGGATGAGCAACACTGTCCCTGACCTGGGAGAGCACATAGGACCTCAGTCAGAAGGAGCCTATAGTATGTTTTACACCTGGATCCAGCGTGAGGAAAATGACCTAGCTCGGGAAGTTCTTCTCACTTCCTCCCAGAAGATGACTCTTAACCTTGGGAGCCTCCAGGTCTGCAGAGCTGAGCAGAAGCCAGTGCCCAGCTGGGGCCAGAGTGGCAGATGCTAGCAAGTACCTGAGCAAACAGTGAGCCCTCAGGGAAGCAGCTGGCTTGGCCAGGAGGAAGCCTCGGGTAGAAGCCAGGGCATCGGCAGATGGAAAGGCTGTCGGGTGCTTAAGAGGGTTCAATGAAGGCTCTAGGCTGGTTTCTGACCATGCCTGTCTCTGTGAGAGATTCTCTGCACGGAGGACTGACTGAGTCAGTCAAGAGGTAGGCCAAGATCCTCGAAAATGGCATTCCTTACCCACATGGCCCAGAGGCTCCTCCAATGAGCTGTACCTCCCTTGCAGAGGCAGAAAGGGCTCCTGGGAGACCTGTGGCTGGAAGCAGAGAACCCTTCCCAGTGGATGCCATCCAGATTGTCAGTGGAAAGACCCAGCAGTAGAGCAGACGACCAGACTTGGGCAGTACTGGGGTCTTGCAAATCTTATTATCAGGCATTTTGTAGCCATCCTTGAGAAAAGAGCTCATTTCTGTGAGTCTTCTGGTATAAATGAGCTAGCTAGCAGCTTGGGGCAGAGCCTAGGAAATGGAAACTCCTTAGCCAAGGTTGGCCTTCCTGTGTGTATAAGCTATGTGCATGACCTGGGAAGCTGTCAGCCTCCCCCCTCACACACACACACACACACACACACACACACACACACACACACACACACTCCACCTCCATCATAACTTAGACTCTGGGTCCAGGAAGGGATAAGCAGAGAACTGGGACCAATGAGATGAAGGAGACCTTGTCTTTTCTGGTGTCTCATCTGCTATTACAGCATAATCTGTACAGCTAAGTAAACCACACACAATGGAGCTTTATCGGCATCCCAGTTCTAGAGGCTGGGAAGTCCACAGCGGCAGGGCCCACGTTTAGCCAAAGCCTTGGTGCTAACTGCGCCATCGCATGGCGGAAGGCAGAAAGACAAGAGAGCTCCACACACTTCTATAGGACACTGCGCTAAGGACATTAATCCACTCACGAGTGTGGTACCCCGGTGACCCGAACACCTCTCAACCCTGTTGCATTGGGGGTTGCCCGTAGACCGTGGTACCCAGTAGGCTGTGAGGTACAGACAGTGCTTATCCCTGCTCACTGGTTTGCATCTCGTGATTGCCTGGCTACTAAGTACCAAGTCCAGATGGCTGGACGAGGGAGTGGGAAAGAGATACACAGGACAGAGCTCCGGGCCTGGGCAAGTCTGCATGCCGCAGAGGGATGAAGAGAGAAGCTTGGGGTCAAGGCCACCAGAAACTAGCTGAGCCACAGAGCCAGGTTACGACTGGATGGTTTTGTCCTTACGCCTCTGCTGGGCCCCAGGCTCATCCCTGAAGTTGTCACCCATGACTCATCCATTCCAAATACTTCATGAATTCAAAACAGCTCTGAACTAGAACTCCATAAAGTACCCCCTACCAAAAAAAAATCCCTATGTTATGAGTGAAACTACAGATGGGAGCAGCTATCACCTCCAGGCCCAGGCAAAGAGTGCTCAGGGATATGTCGGCCAGACCTCGGACGGTGTCACCGTGGACGGTGTCACTGTGCGCAGTCAGGAGCGAGTGCCAGGCCTGTGTTGCTGCTTCTGCTAACGTGGATGGATTATTTCATGTCTCTCCATTTCAGTTTCCTCTCCTGACCCGCAGAGATAATTAGCAGCTGTGGGCTAGGGCTGTTGAGTGGGTAACCATGATGCTTTCTGCTGAGACCATCAGAGAGGCAAGGTGCCACCAGGAAGAGACCCATCTGATTTAGGGGACTCAGGAGAGCCTTGCTGGGTGACTGTGGAAGACCCTCCCCTGAGAGAAGCCAAGGCATCACAACGGATGGATGATGGATCAGGCCCAAGAAAACCAGGGAGAATAGCAATGCCAGATCCATTTGCCCCATAGAGCAAATGGTGTGCTCAAGGTCTTTAAAGATTCCCAGGCTACTGAAAACAGTTCCTTCTGAGGTCCAGACTTGAGGGTCCTGAGGATTTGGAGCGGATTGTACCCATGGAAGGGAGGGAGAGATGGAGTGGCCTAGGACCACTCCTCTCTGGCCTGACATCTTTGCTCACAGTGGTGGCTGCAGTTCTTGAAGAGCTATGGACTCACCATCCCTGCCTGAATCACAAAGCTTGGAAGGCTGCATGCAGAGAGGACCACTCTGATGAGTGGCTTGGGGA